AAGAATCATTTACAAATTTAAGTACAATTTTTGAAAAAAAAATCCTTTTGTACAAATTAATATTTACAAAATAGGATGTAGAAAAAAAAAAAAAGTATTAAAAATCAAAGTAATACAAATTGTACAACTTATACAACTTGTACAAAATAAGAAACGACGAAAATCAAATGTGGGATAAGTGTGTGAATTTTTTAAGACCTAAATGAAATGCAGATATATATATATATATAGATCATCGATTGACCATGTAGTGTTAAATGTAAATTTAACAAATCTAAGATTCACAAGTTAAAGTCAATTTAACTTGGTTTTTTTTTATCATCTTGTTAAGGAAGAATTTGAATTAAATTGATCATCCGATATATCAACCTCAGCATTAGTGTTAGTTATAAGGTCTTTATTTTTACCGTACAGGCATTCTTCGCCATCATCTCCATAAATATGCTGCTGTATGTCGTACATTGTGATACAATCGAATATAAATGTATGCATAAGGACACCTATCAACTGTTAGAAATACACATAAAATAATATATTAAAAAAAAAAATACAAAATTAATTTATAAATGATAAATGAAACAATAAATTTACCTGAACCAATCTTGAAAAAAATATAATTTTGGCAATATAAAACAATTGGGGACCAAATCGATTCATTAAAATGATATTATAACAATCATTAAAAAATTCACCAGGTCGATTAATTATATCGCATGAAAACTAATAAAATAATAGATTAATATTAAAAATATTAAAAATTGATAATGTGAAACATAAACAAATACGTAAAAATGTGGTATTACCTCATATTCTAATTCTTTTATCAGATCAGGATCCAAATTATAAGCTTTTTGCAAAGAACCACTTAGAATTTTTAAAATCCAACTGCTACTAAACAGTACATTATATGCAGCAGTAACAGTTTGAATCACAGTGAATGCAATAAGGAACATAGAGATCTATGGAAAAAATTGTAGAGGTTAAGGGTTTATGCAATAATCAATAAGCGCGGTAGATCAAATGTAAGCTATATTAAATAGAAACAAATCAAAAGTATCGAAGAAATAAGATTATGAAAAAGGATACAAATTGACCAACAACGTTATTTTTTCGCATAAAATTGAATACACCAAACAAAGTAATCATCCATGCGCACATAACGCATACAAATTCACCATTGAGTGTTAGATGGGGAGTTAAAACAATTCCTGGCAAAGTTTGACTATCTTCTGGTGATATTACTGCGGTAAAAGCTAAGGATCGATTACGATTTTGTACTAGAGATAAAATGCTTGTGGGGATCTGATTAGACGTCAAAAAATAAAATGAATTTTATAAAAAAATAAATAAATTTTTTTTTTATAAGAAAAGTATATAAAACATTAAAGGAAACATACGGCTGTCAAAAAGATAGCCATGGTTACCAATAACCACTTAAAAAGTTCAAGTCTTTGTGAACCGTCCAAACCAAAGAATACAATAAAATTTATTTGTTTTCCAAAAATTGCCATTTTTTTAAAAATAGAAATATCTATAAAGTAAAATATGAATCTTTTATTTTATTTTATTTTATTTTAAATCAAAAAATTTTTTATTTTATTTTTTATAAAACGGGCTTTTTTCAAGAAAAAAAAAATTAAAGAATTTCTCGATTCAGCAAGCGAATTTCATTGAGACTTATATACGAAAAGGTTTTGTTGCGGAAAATGGGGG